TTTGTAACCCTCTGGGATTAGGTACAGTTGTTTGCTGGGCTGACATCCTGTTTACAAGTTTTAAAGCTTAAGGAGGGTGGAATGAGGGGGTAGTTACTGTTTTTTCCCTAGCTCTACAATTTGAAGTCTCTGGGCCACAAATCTTCAAAGCTGTGGTTTATATTTAAATAATAATAATAATAATAATAATAATGAAACAACTAAAAACATTGATGTGCCTTCCTTCCAGCACAGAATGTAGAGGTGTTAATTATGCAGAAATTTCTTACAATGCCAGACAAGTGCCAATTAAAGGTCAACACAGAACTGAGGAAGAGCTTTTGAGCTCTGAATTCCTCACTACAATAAAGGCAAAGTTGTGTACTGAGAAAAGACAGTCAGTTTACTCTCTGTGCGTTTCTTCCTTCAATAAAACAAGTAGAAAGACTGGTTGTTTGCTCCTCCTTTTTCTTTCTTTCTTGAACCCAGTTTTCTCGTGCACGCTAGGAAAGGGCTCTGTCACAGAGCCCCGGCTTTTATTTATTGTTATTTCCGGTCACAAAACTACTATCCTGCTCTCTGCGTCCCGTTCTTGTCAAGGGAGATTACACCATGTTCAAGCAGGCCAGGAACTTTCCTACCCTGCTTTGCCCGTTTATTGATACTACTTAAAGCCATAGATAAATGTCAAGGGAGGAAGTAAACACCACAGAACAAAACCTAACATCACACATTCTCCTCTAATTGACGTACTTTAGCTGAGCTATATTTTGAGGTTAACTTTTTTCTCACAAATTCCTCACTAATAGATTTAGAACAGACCGTTAATACAGAAATGAACTAAAATTTTTTAACATACGGAAACTGTAGTATGTTTGTGTACAGTGACTGAATTTAACTCCTTGCATTTTGTTAACCACAGTGGTATAATCTGAAATTAAAATGTTACATTACCTACAACCATCACACTGCATAAGTCTGTCTCAGGCATTTCCAGCACAATCCATTGATAAGATAATGCAGAGCTCTTTACTTACCGCAGTAAAGTTGGCCATCTTTCAAACCTTTGCCAGGCTCGTCCAAACAGAAGATGACACCATAGAAGACAGGAGCACCACAAAGTCACAGTGTAGACACTGAGATGTGCTTCCCATTCTCAGAGTGCACCTGACTATAATTCCCTGCCTATTTAGATAATTTAACCTTGTGGCATGAAATGAAGTCTTTGATTTTTTTTGTTTATTTACAGCAAAATTATTTACACTAATTTGACACAAACAGATTTGGCACATTGCCACCATTTCTTTAGCATCACTTATTAATTGATTAGGGAGGAAAAATTAAAACAAAAATTTCCCAAATGTCTATCATCTCCAGTTGACCTGCAACAAGTCCTATAACCCAGAGAGGGCAGCAGAGGGAGACTGAAGTCTGCACTGCATATATTTAAAGCTGCTGTCCATCATTTGGGGCACTTCTCAGGAGGCGAATAAAGATGAAATCATGGATGCTGAATATTTTCCAAGAGGTGAAAATCCTCACACTGAGGCAGGAGATTTCTTTTAGATGCTTCCGCTGTGTCTCCAGATCACCTGTTTCTTACCCTGTAAAGCTGGAAGCAGGGAAATTGTGAGGGATCCTTGAAAGCTCCATTTCAGATTCTCAGTCCGGTGCCCACGGAGGATGTAAATTCCGGGAGGTGCCCCTGACTTCAGGGTTCGCTCCCAACACTCTTCGGTAGTTAAGTTTCCCGAGCGCAGGAGGGGCTCTGCTGCCCGCCTGCCAGTGAAGCTCCCCTGGAACACTATGGGGGTGAAGTTCCGAGGGCGCTTAACATTCGAAAGGAGTGTGATTACTGTATTTACATTTAAATTAAAATGGAAACTTGGTATAGGTTATGTTTCTGAAAGGTATATGTGGCGCATCTGCTGAGGTCTATTGTTTATTCATGCTGTAAATCCTTTGAAATGTGTTAAAATGCTTCCCACTCATTATAAAGCTCCTGCCACCCCTGGATTACGACTTTGATGTCACCAATCCTGCTTCAAAGGGTTCTTTCTGGGCTATTAATCACAGTTTAGCCTCTGAAGATATCGCCAGAGAAAACATTTAGACATCTTTATGCTAGATTTGCTAAAACTTTGAAATCTTGAGCATCGTGCTTATGCACAAATTGCAGGGTTTCCTTTCATTGATGACTTTTTATTTTGCTACAGAGTCAAATGACACGATAGGTAAAAGTGCAAACAAATCTCTTCCCACACTTGGTTTGCAGACGAGTGTGGGTGTGTGTGGTGGTTAGGAGAGAAGGGAGAGTCTGAGAGGCCTCACTGAGCTTTCAAAGGTAAAAAGCAGTGGGGTATGAGTGGCCAAAATCTGTCATTTTTTGTCTTTATTTTATTTTATATTTTTGACTAACCGGCCTTCCCAGGAACAATTGGTGAGATGCTCTGGTATTCTCTGGCCTTCTCCACTTTGAGACCTATATGAATTGTCCACAGCGAACAGAAATACAGGTTCACAGCGAATTATAATAATAAAAATATACACATACTAATAATTACCCATAATACTTGAGACCAAAAATGCTTCAGATGTAGTTAGAGGGCAACAATTTGAGAATATTTGGATAAGCAAAGCGAAATATCTCATATAAGTAGCCTGAAGGTAATTTTATACTCTGTAGATAGTCACACAAATGTGTGTACATACATATACACAGAAATACATATACGTGTATCTTATACAACTAACCCAAAGATAATTTTATTTTATGTGCACATATATATGGTTATATGTAGTACAGTGAATATAAGAAAGCAAATATCTCTTCAAGATTTTTTTAAAAAATTCTTTTAGATAAATACTTAGAATGAGATTGCTGGATGATATGGTGGATCAATTATTAACTTTTAGAAAAATGTCATTCTATGATTTCCATAGCTATGCCACTTTACATTCCTCCAACAATATAGAGATTTCAATTCTTCCACTTTTTCTTTGACACTTGTTATTTTCTTTTTAAAAATTTTTTGCAATGGCCACTCTTAACTGGGATAGTATGTGGTTTTCATTTTGATTTCCCTGATAATTAGTGATTTTGGCTACATGTTCACACCTCTATTAGCCGTTTGCATACCTTCTCTGGCAAGTCCTTGCACATATTTTAATTGAGTTACTTGGTTTTTTGTTGTTGAATTGTAGTTACTCCTTGCATCTCCTGGCTATTAGGCCCTCATAAGCGGTGTGGTTTGCCAGTGTTTGTGCCCGTCTATATGCTGTCTCTTCACTGCTGATGGCTTCCTGTGCTGCATGCAGTTTTTAGTTAGGTCATCTCGCTTGGTGCTTTTTGCTTTTGTTGCCTTGGTTTTGGTGTCATATCCAAGAAATCATTACTATAACCAATGTTATAAAGCTTCTCATCTACATTTTGTTCTAGGAGTTTTATAGTTTCAGCTATTATGTTAAAGACTTTAATTCATTTTGAACCTCTTTTTGTCTATAGTGTAAGATAAGGGTTTAATTTAATTCTTTTGTATATAAATATTCAGGTCCCCTGACATAATTTGCTGAAAAGATTTTTTTTTTTTTTTGGTATAGTCTTGGTATCCTTGTCAGGTATCACTTGAATATATATATATATATATATATATATATATATATATATAATCCATATATAAAAATTCATATAACACACACACACACATATATATACACGAAATAAAGGGGTTCATTTTTTGGTACTCTATTTTATAGGGCTATATGTCCATATTTGTGCTAGTACCGTACTCTTTTGATTACTATAGCTTTGTAGCACATTTTGTGGAAGTCAAAAATTGAAATTTCTAGCTTTGTTCTTTTCTCAAAATTTTTAGAGTTGTGCCAGGTCCTTTGTAGTACTACATAAATCTTAGGATTTTCTTTTCTATTATTTGCAAAAGAATTATTTGCAAATAAATTATATGCAAAAGAATTATTTCTGTAGGAATTTTGGTAGTGATTGCATTGAATTGGGTTTGGGTATTATTAACTTTTTTTTTTCAGCACTGGGGATTAAACTCAGAGCCTCACAGTGAGCTACATTTTCATCCCTTTTATTTTTTGTTTTTGAGACAGAATCTCATTGAGTTACTTATGCTGTGCTCAAACTTATAGTCCTCCTGCCTTAGCCTCTCAGAGTGCTGGGAATAAAACACACGTACCGCCATGCCTGGCTTTGAGTCTTCTTTAATTCCTTCCAGCAGTGTCTTAAAGAAGATTTTTGTTTTGTTTTGCATGGAAAAATTTTTTGCCTCTTTGGTAATATTTATTCCTAAGTATTGCACTCTTTTTAATGTTATCATAAGTTGAACTATTTTCTTAGTTTCTTTCATGGATAGTTCATTGTTAATGCATACTAATATAACTGATTTTTGGACATTGATTTTCTGTTATTGTAGCATTGCTGAGTTTATCTACTAGTTTTGACAATTTTTAAATGAAATCTCTTATGTTTTCTCTGTAAATATTTGTCATCAATAAACAAATAAATTTACATCTTCCTTTCTGATTTAGATGACTTACATTTCTTTTGCCTAATTGCTCTAGCTAGGACTTGTAATAATATCTTTGTGCTATGAAGCGTTAAGTGTAAACATCCTTTGCCTTGTTCTTGAAATTAGAGGAAAAGCTTTCAGTTTTTGACATTGAATATGGATATTAGCTATCAGCTTTTCATATATAGCCTCTATCATATGGAAGTAATTTCCCTCTATTCCCAATTTGTTGCATGAATTTGATATGTTTTGCTGCTTCTTTTTTGCTTGTGAAATATATAATTTGTTGTATAAATTATTTTTACTTATGAAAATAATTATTAAATGTTACATAATTGAGACTAAAATATTCAAAAACTTTTTAAAATTCAGGTAGATTATTCAGAAAATTTGGGGAAAAAACCCAAAAGACCCAAAGAAAAAATACTCATGATTCTATTCCTTAACTTTTCCTTCAATTTAAGTTCTTTATCTTTTTTTGCTCAGGCAATTTGGCCCAGACAAAAGCCAGGCTATCAGCAGCCTCCAGATCGTTGCCTCCACATTTCAGTACTGGGAGAGCTAAGGTGAGCAGATTTGCACCAAAATGATATGGCTGGGTTGGGTGGGTTGTTGCTACTCTGGTGGAATAATGCTAGTGGACAGCTTTATTCAGCCCACTTCCAGGCAGTGTTTAGGATATCAGGGTTAAGGAATTTGAAACAACATAATGAAATTGTTAGGATCTCTCAGAAAGGCCACTTAAAATACAGTCATGACACTTGAAAATGAAGTCCATATAGGAAGAGATAAAGTACTTTATAGGAAGTACTTATATAGGAAGAGATTAGTACAGCTAACACCAGCCTACAGAGTTAGTACAGCTAACACCAGCCTACAGAGGAAGAAAACAGACCAAAAGATGTTTCCTTTTGCTTGGCTTGGCCCTCTGAAAAATTGGGACACTTTTTAGTGTAACTGAAATATTAGAAGAATTCATAAATTCCCATTTGTAGAACCTCAAAGATGGCCTATTTGATGTTCACTATATGTACAGTAATCATCCTTACCTGCAATTTTGATTTCTATGGCTTCAGAAATCTTTAGTAACTGTGACCCAGAAATATTAAATACAAAATTCCAGAAACAAATAATTCATGAGTTTAAAATTGTGTGCTATTTTAACTAATATGGTGAAATTTCACACGATTCCACTATGTTCTGCTCAAGACATACTCTGCCCTTGGTCCAATGTATCCATGTGAAATACAGTACCCAACAATTAGTCACTTAGTAGCTATTTCAATTATAAGATTGACAGTCAGATTATTGAAGAGCTTGTGTTAAAGTAACCTTTATTTTACTCAATAATGGTCCTAAAACGTAAGAGTTATAATGTTAGAAATTTGGATATGATAAAAGACAAACCATAAAATACTTCCTTTATAAGGACATGCTACCATGAAAACAGTATATTGTCATAGTGATTCTATTTTATTATTAGTTATGATTGCTATTTTCTTGCTGTATGTAATTTGTCTTACTTTTTCTCTTGTTGCTCAGACAAAATATCCAATGCTGAAAATTAGGGAAAAGTTTATTTATCTCACAGTTTGTAGAGGTTTCAGCCATAATCAGCTGGCTCCACAGGAGGATGGCATGGCATAGGGGCAGCCATTCATGGCAGTGGAAAAAAGCAAAAACAACAAGACAAAAGGGGCAAAATGAGAGGAGAGAAAGAGCAAGTCTCTTGTATGTAGGCTGTCTGCCCCAGGGTGGATGTAGCACTCAGACTAATAATTCCAGCTTTGCACAATGAAACAATCACAACTCTAGAAATCCACCTCCACGACTGCATGAGGCTTTGGAAGACATCTAAACACAAACTATAACATTCTGCCCCCTGGCCTCCCAAAGATTCATGTACATCCCTTAATGCAGAAGGCATTTTTGTCCATCTCAAAGAGCTGTCAAAATCCTAACAATTTCAGCATTGCTGACAAGTCTAAGTCCCAAGTCTCCTCCAAAATCTAAGGCAAATTCTTAGCTGTGAGCCTCTGAATGAAAAGCTAAACACTTTCAACATTCAATGGCACAAGATAAACATTACCAGTCCAAGTGGGAATGAAAGATTGAGACCAAAGTAAGTCCAAAATCTAGGAGGGCAAACACTAAGTCCTGTAGTTCCATGTGTAGCACCCAACACAATCTGTGACCAGTTGTGAGCTCCAAAGGACTCAACTAATTCTGATCCTATAGCACTGCTGATGCTAGCTTCCATGGTTTTTGTTTTGGCCCCACTCTGCTCCCTCCCTCATCTTTCCCTAGATGATCCATGTTCCTGGCTTCTCCAAGCTTCTTGGGTCTCTCCTGCACCTTTGGTTTCACACTCACAGCTTCACACACTATCTTGTTGGGGGCACACTACCTGACCTCCCAAGCCTTCTAAAACTGGGGTAAAAGCTTTCTTAACCTCAAAATTCTTGCACTCTGCATGTGCCTGACAGTAGCACCATGTAGATGATTCCAAGGTCCACTGCCAGCTGGAGCAGTACACAGGCTTCCTTCTCTCTTGGCTTTAAGGATTGAGTGCCTAGATCACTGAGCACTCTGAACTTGAGTCTGCAGGACAGATTTTCTATGCTGCTGCCATGCTGGTACATGGTGCAGCCACTGCCATTCTCAAACATGGTGCTCTGCTGCTTTCTCCTCAAAGCAAAAATCTTTCACTTAGAAAGATTTGAGGCTGCAAAGGGTGCAGACTTGATGCTTATTGTGAGGCCTTAAACCATGTTTTATATTCTGATTCTTTCAGCAGTCAAGATCTCCTCAGATCTATCTTTGCAGTCCACAGCTTTGCTGGAACTTTTCTGTCTGGCCAAACTCACAACATTTTAAATCATCCTGCTGGGCTCTTTGCTCTTGATTAACAGCATAAATCTGGTTAAAATCCCCCAACAGCCGTGATACCACCATCTCAACATTAGACTCTGTTGAAATTTCTTCTGCCAGATTAATTAGTCTACTGCACTTAAAATCTCAGTCTTAGGGAAAGTCTTTGGACATGAACAAAATAGAGACAAACTTCCTACCAAGCTATAATATGTATCATCTGGAGTCCAGCAGCCAGTATAATCCTTCTTCACAAGAGAAAACTCCCAAACTTGGTCTTTACTGGCAGGATTTCTATCAGCTTTCTGGTTCTGAGCTCTGATGAGAAAATCTCCCATAAAGAGCAGCCTAAGGCATTCCAGCTCTAACCTTTCAGGTGACATCTCTGAACCTTTCCAAACTCTCCCCACAAGTCATTCTCAGGGGCTGGGGATTTAGCTCAGTGACAAAAGTGCCTGCCTTGCCAGCACACAGTTGTGAGTTTGATCCCTGCTACAAAAAAAAAAGTCTCTTAAGTTTTGGCCAGAGGTTTAGCTCAGCGGCATAAGTACTGGCTTGGCAAACTCAAGGTCATGAGTTTGATCCCTGAGACACACACACACACACACACACACACACACACACACATCATTCTCAAAGGATCTTCATGGCACTGGTTTTAGGTCCATGCAGAGTACAAGAATTTTGAGGTTAAGAAAGCTTTCACCCCAGTTTTAGAAGGCTTGGGAGGCCAGGCAGTGTGCCCCCAACAAGATAGTGTGTGAAGCTGTGAGTGTGAAACCAAAGGTGCCGGAGAGACCCAAGAAGCTTGGAGAAGCCAGGAACATGGATCATCTAGGGAAAGATGAGGGAGGGAGCAGAGTGGGGCCAAAACAAAAGCCATGGAAGCTAGCATCAGCAGTGCTATAGGATCAGAATTAGTTGAGTCCTTTGGAGCTCACAACTTGTCACAGGTTGTTTTGGGTGCTGCACATGGAACTACAGGACTTAATGTTTGCCCTCCTAGATTCTGGACTTTGGTCTCAATCTTTCATTCCTACTTGGAATGGTAATGTTTATCTTGTGCCATTGAATGTTGAAAGTGTTTAGCTTTTCATTCAGAGGCTCACAGCTAAGAATTTGCCTTAGATTTTGGAGGAGACTTGAAACTTAGACTTGTCAGCAATACTGAAATTATTAGGACTTTGACAGCTCTCAGAGATGGACTAAAATGACTTTCTCATAAACGGCCCAGGGCAGAATGTTATAGTTTGTGTCTATATGTTCTACCAAAGTCTCATACAGTTATGAGGGTGAGCTTCTAGGTTTGTGATTGATGCTAGGTCCAATGCTGGGATTATAGATGCGAGTGCCATACCCACCCTGGGGCAGGTAGCCTGCATACAATATGAGAGAGAGAGAGAAAGAGAGGTTTGTTCTCACACTCCTTCCTTTTTGCTCTTGTTGCTTTTGCTGTCTTCTGGCCACCAGGAACTGTTGCTCCTCTTCCCCACCAACCTGCTGTGGAGCCAGCTGGTTATGGACTGAAAATTTCCACAAAGCTTTCCTCTTTTAACTTTAGATGTTGAGTATTTTGTCCCTGCAATGAGAAAAAAGTAACCAACATACCAACATCCTTGGCAACAACTGAGATCTCCTCAGCTTTGTCTTTGCAGGCCACAGCTTTGCTGGAGCTTTCTCTCTGGCCAAACTCACATTTTAAATCATTTTCCTGGGCTCTTTGCTCTTGATTCACAGCATAAATCTGGCTAAAAGCCCCCAACCGCAGCCATCCCACAGTCTCAATATTCGACTGCCTTGAAATTTCTTCTGCCAGATTAATATTTGAATGCCCTTAATCTCAGTCTCAGGCAAAGTCTCTGGACAGAAGCAAAATGCAGACAAACTTTCTGCCAAACCATACCACACATTGTCTGGAGTCCAACAACCGATACAATCCTTCTTCCCAGCAGAAATTTTCTGAGCCTAAACTTTACCAGTTTTCTGGTCTTCTGAGCTCTGAACAGAATCTTCTATACAGAACAGCCTAAGGTATTCTAGCTCTAGTCTTTCCAGGTGATATCTCTGAACCTTTCTGAACTCTTCCCACATCCATTTTCAAAGCTTTTTGAACCACATGATCAAGTATAGTCATAGCAATGACCACACTCCTGGTACCATGACTACACTCCTGGTACCAAATTCTGTCTTGGTTGCTTTTCTCCCATTGCTTTGACAAAATACCTGAATTAAGGAAGGAAATATTTTATTTGACTCACAGCTTTTGAAAGTTGCAGTCCATAATCAGCTGGCTCCAAGGCAGGGTGGCACATAGCAGAGGGCAGTAGTTCATGGTGGCAGAAGACAGCAAAAGCAGCAAGAGCCAACCAAAGGAGAAGATGAGAGAGAAAACCTCTTTCTCTCCCTTATATTATATGCAGCCTACCAGGGTGACTGTAGCTCTTATACCTGTAATCCTGACATTGGACCATGAATAAATCATAACTCTAGAAGCCTGCTCCCATGACTACATGAGGCTATGGAGGGCATCTAGACACAAACCATATCATATTTTATAGTTAAACTTTATCATAGGTATGTATGTATTGGAAAGCATAGTATTTATAGGGTTTAGTGGAATCTAGGCATCCCCTTGAGGTCCCATGATAAAAGAAGATTGTGTATTAATGCCAAAAACAATTATCTCAAAGGTTAT